GTATGTTTCGAGTTGCTTTCAAGTTTATATGAGAGTCGTAGTCTCATATAAACTATAGACCCTAGCATTTAAGAATATATTTTGAGCCTACGTCATATATAGTTTTGGATATCATCTAATAAGAAGACGATATTATTTTTTAAAAAGAAAGCCTGTTGGAAAACGTATTAATATTCAATGACACAGGAACACTTGTACTATTCAATACAGCTGCATATCAACTTTAGAGCATACATCTGTTTTTGTGTGCAAATGTATGAGAAATCTACGTAAAAAAAAACACAAGACTATAATACGATACTTGAAGTACTATTTAAAGATGATGTAACCCAAGTAAACAAAAACATGAATATACAACATAGTTTTCAAGAATAGTTTGGTCTACATCCTGGGACCAGATTTTAGAGACGACTAAATGCCCTTTACTTCATTTAAAAAAGACTGAAAAGGAAATGTTATGCATTTCCAAGAGTAGTGCGGTCTACATTCCGAGAACACCCTGGTTTTAGAGATACCAAATGCTCTTAACCTCTCTTAATAAATACTAGAACAATAAGTATGTGTTGCCAAGAGTAGTTCAATAAATCCGTAAGCTGTTCGTCTTTACAGATAAAGAAATAGTGTACACAACTCAACAAAGAATAGAATAGCAGGTGAGTATTTTCAAGAGCAATTCAGTCTATATTAACCTCTCTCAACAAAGTCTAGCAAGTTTATATTTGAACCTGTTTATTTACTGTCCAAAGATGAGCATTTGCATTTGACGCCTTGGTATCACTAAACAATTGATGAGTCATATCCATGCTTTTGACAAATATTTACAGATGTGATTATTAATTTCATATAATTTGTTCTAACATACTATATATAGGAATTACTCATTAAATTTATTAAAGAAACTGACCCCAATTGAATTCATCTTATTATTAGTTTAAACTAATAAATTTAAATAAATAAATTAAATAAGTCACTACGTATAATGACAACAATCGATGACTTAGTACTTACTTTCTAATTTTATGTGTATTGTTTGCGTTTGTGTTGGTTGTTGCTGCCGTTGTTGTTGTACCATTAAAATGGTGCCATTATCAGTCGTTACACCGGTAGCAACATCTAACACAACATTACTATATGTATTTAAAGAATCCGATGAAGGTTCACTATTAGGATACGCGGGTGACATAGTTGTTGTAACAGAATTTGGTGAAAGGCCCTGTAAGCATAAAAAATATAAATAAAATTAATTAAAACTTATAATAATAATTATGTAAAGCTTATAACCAACCTCTCGTGAATTATGCATGCAAGAGCATGTAAGTGAGCGATGCAGTAAACATTGTTGTGCCTGTAAACCATATCCTTGTTGTACGGGTCCATTCAAACCATAAACCTGTGGAGCTTGGTATGGTGGTGGTGGTTGTGTGGGTATGCCTGAGGCAGTGCTAAACCTACTCCAACCGTATGATCGTTTGGTTTAAAGAAAAAAAATTAAAAAAAATTCAATTTATTTATCTGTCGCATAAAGAATCAACAGTAGCCAAACTAGATACATGCTACACAAGCTACAAACATGCAAACATATTTTTCATTTTTACTTTAAAGTTTTATAATATTAAATTATTTAAAATTAAATATCACAAAAATAGAAATTAAAAATATACAAAACATAAGACAACATAAAATTATAAAAACTGACCCTGGCATCAAATCCTTTTGCAAAGTCAACTCCTCCGCCATGGAACCGGCCAATTGATCCAATGTGCTGGCTTGTGCTGGCGACATAGTTGAATTTTGATAATCAGCGGGATAACCCCAGTCGGGCTCATAGCCCAGTAGTGCAGGTATTGGACTAAGTCGTCCACAGGAACTTGCATTTGATGACGCGCGTTGACGGAAATCCGGTGATAATTGAAAACCACCACTTGAGTTAAAAATAAAAATTTAATTTTGTAAAAATAAATAAATTAATAAAATTATAAAAAATATGAATTTAAATAAAAATTTTATAAAATTATATAAGTTTAAAACTTAGAATGATAAATTTAATTTAAAATGTTTTTTTAATTATTTAAAAAGTACTTAGCGTGAATTCATAAAAGTTATTAGGCACATAGTTTTCAGTAGATATCTATATTATCTTGTTAGTAAGAATAACGTGTCATTAGCAGAAACTAACTATCATGCTGAACTACTTAAACATTCCAAACCAATTTCTCAAAGTTGTTAATAAATATCGGTGCATTTAAAAAAACATATTTTTAATTTTTGTTTAATTTACTATATTAAATTAATAATAACAAACTATATGTTTCTATATTGTATGGCAAGATAAATTATTTTTTTAAAGCAAATTAATTTAATACTATATAACTTGTTTTAATGTTGTAATTATTTTAAATTATTATTAGTTTTTTTAATAATTATATTTTATATCTTTTAATTATTTATATATTATTTATTCATTAATTTGACATAGTTAATTAATTCTTCTATATATAAAACGATGTACAATACTATTACATTTTCATATGTCAATAATTTTTGTAAATTTTATAGTTATTAAAAAATTATTGTAAAATAATTATTAAACAATTATTAAAATAAAAATTGTTTTGATTTTTTAAGGTTGTTTAAAGATTCGATTAAATGGGAAATAAATTTGTTAAGAGGTACTTTATTTTCTGGTATTAGAAAAAATATATGTATATAAAACACACTCAAATTTCATATATCATTTTTTACTATTTTATTTATTTATTTATTTTTATCTGAATTTTATCTAATTTAATTAATATGATTTTTTCAGTCAATTTAAAGTAAAATATTTGTTTTTGATTCACTTTCTTTAATTCCATCTAATTTTTAATTACTTGTTATTATTTTTTATAAAATCTTATTATTATTTTTTATAATTTCTTCTTATTATTTTTTATTTCTTACTATTTCTATTTTCCTAATATTCGTCAAATTTATTTTAATAAATTATGTTTCATATATTTTATTTACTTTTTTATTACTATTACTTTTTTTTTAATATTTTGTTTTTGATTTGGTATTTTTCGCAGTTTTTTATTATTTTATATATTTTTTTCTTTACTTATGTTTATTAATTTAACTTTTTATTATTAATATATTATATATTAACTTTATTATTATTATATTTATTTTGCTCATTTTTAATGAGCATATTTAATCTCCTTTATTTACTTAATTATTATTATTTATTTACTTACTTACTTATCTTATTCATTTTATATTGATTATTAATGTTATTTAATTATTTATTATAAGTAAATAAGTTTATTTATTTATTTTAAAATGAAATCATATTTTATTATTTTTAATAAATTTTATTTATTTATTTTCAAATTATTTATATTTATATTTATATTTATATTTATATTTATATTTATATTTATATTTATATTTATATTTATATTAATAATTATATATATATATTTATTTATTTATTATATATTTATATCTATTTATTTATTATATATTTATATTTATTTATTTATTATATATTTATATTTATTTATTTATTATATATTTATATTTATTTATTTATTATATATCTATATATATATTTATTTATTAATTTATTATATATTTATATTTCTTTATTTATTATATATTTATATTTATTTATTTATTATATATTATATTTATATTATATTATATATTATATTTATATTTATAATTTATTATTATATTTATATTTATATTTATTATATTATTATATTTATATTTATATTATATATATATTTATATTTATTTATTTATTATATATATATTTATTTATTATATATTTATATTATATATTATATTTATATTATATTATATTTAATTTTATATTATTTTATATTTATATTTATATTTATATTTATATTTATATTTATATTTATATTTATATTTATATTTATATTTATATTTATATTAATATTTATATTTATTTATTGTTTTTTCTAAATTATTTTATTCTATGTTTTAAACTATATAAATATTTTTTTTTTGTATTTAATATATTATATAAACATTTTGTTTTTGTATACCAAAAAATTGTATTTTAAAGCCAAACTATGTAAAACGAATATGCAGAACTACTACAAGTTACCAACAATTTAATAGTTACCTGTGTAGAGGACTTTCCGGAAAATGATCTAAGCCTTCGCTAACACTACTGCTTGGCGATGGTGTAGCATCATTTAAGCCTGTAACACCGGCCTGCCTCAAAGCCTCAACACGTTTCTTGGCACGTCCCCGACGCTTCTCATAACGCGATGTTTCCATTGATGCCGCACGACGTCTTACAGACTTGCCTGGCTTTGCATCAGGATTCAACATCCACCAGGACGATTTTCCAGTGCCTTCATTCTGTACTCGCATAAAACGATTGTGCAAGGATAAATTGTGTCGTATTGAATTCTGAAAAAAAAGAAAGAACAATTTAGTAAAAGTAAGAAAATAAATAATATTTAAATTTAAGTTAAAATAATCAATATTAAATTCTTTAAAAAGAATATACTTGTGACAATGTCATAAACTTCATAAAAACGGAAACTACTTCCGCTGTGTAAAGAAACAAAAGTCTGGAGAAAAAGTACAGATATCAAATCGACATCAATTGTCACACAATCATTTTCTTTAACCATTTTTGCTAAATTTGCAATTTTTACCCTTTTTTCCATGTACAGATTTGAGCAGTATTACCACTGAGAATCCATTTTGGCTTACCATATTTTTGTATCTCAACGCTGATACAACACAAATGGTAAGCAATATTTTAAGCTTTTTGTGAACTTCATAAGAAAGCAATTGTCTTCTTTAGCCCATTCAATTGTCTGCCGACAGTTTTATCGTTTTTCAAGGATAAGAAGTTCGAGCTTTCTTACTAATTGGACTGACTGGCAAGCGTAACAAGGAAGTTAGCAGCGCTTAAATTGTCAATTCATATTTTATCACATATTCAATACCTAAAATATGAGTTCAACTGCTGAATTGATATGCTGCGGTAGAGGTGGGGGGCATGAGTGTTAAGTGACTGTAGTTTACGACTAAAAAATTATATTGTAATGGCAACATTTTTAGACGCGTCGTCGCAGCTCACCCTCCGAGTCGTTCCTTCAATGATGATGAGCCAACAGTTTGGTTTTCAAGGTGGGATTCTAGTTGTATTTTTAAGAGTTTTCCATTCATTTTCCATTTACTTTAGTTTCTATTTCACACACGTGTACATATATGCACAATTGTTGTACTCCAACAAAACTTCCAAAGCAATAGCAGACCTGTATAAGGACATCTCATAGTAGCATTTCGCTTCCTAACAAAACCAGATAAAAAAGGGAAATTCAAAAAAGTTCAGAGAATCCTGAAAATAAAAGTAAAACCATAACGATTCGGTAGCACAGAGCAGGGCAGAAGAGCAACGTTGTGTGCCATATTGGCGCCATTTATCACCGCGGCAAAGGATTCCCTTTAAATCTAAATTTTACATGTATCGTTCATGTAAATGGGAATATTTCTATGAGTATATAAATTTGGCAATTTATAAATCTCTAAATGTGTGGGTTAAATTTAGTTATTTTAAAAATATATACGGCATAAAATCATAGTAAATTTTTTTCATAAAAGTTTTTCTTGGCGTCATTTTTACTCGTCGTTGTCATTTCGAGCTTGATTTAGTTTATTTTGTGGGTGAATCCTTTTGCCATAAACTTATCATATTTATTTAAATGCTTATGTCAGATGAGTTTAGCAACACCGTCTGCCATTTAACATATATTTTGTATCTTATTTTGCATTGACATAAAGAATTTATTATAAATAACTAATGAATATTATTAATTATAATAAAACACAAAAAAAAAGAACAATAGGCATCAAATCTGTCAGCTTTATTTTAAGAAAACTTTGCTTTTAATTTAATTTTTAAAATAAGTTAATATAAAGAAGGGGTATAATACTAGCATATATAAGAAGATTAATATTAAGCAGGGCAATAGTAATATAGAGAGCGAAATTGAAAATATGTCTGTCATTATTATATATATGTTGAAATAAAGCAATAGAGATAACAAAGAAAAAATCAGCTTTAATGCTCAACTATGACATCCTCGAATTTATAAGAAGTTTACCAAGGACAAGTTTACATGTCACATAATCTGTGACTTCATTTAAGTACCTCTTTTATAGTATATCTGTAACCATCACCAAATTCTTTACAGAAACCTATCTAAAATCATATGGAACTGTACAATAGCTGCATAATCCGTGCCCAAATACTGTTAATCTTGCGCTTCCTAGGCTAACAGATAGGTTTGGTAGTGCCAAATTTATGTTAAACAAAGGGTAACACAGCTGAAGACTTAAAAAGTGACCCTTAGAATCTATAAAGAGTTAAAAAAACTGACGACAAAATATAAAATATCTTAAAATAAATTTATTTATAAATACAAAGTATGAAATACAAAGCATTTCATAATTTTGGACAATACCGATAGCTTTCGAAAAATTTATTTTGGAGGATTTTATATAGGTATAATAAAAGGATATTAGTCACCAAATTTTCAAAGCCAAGTACAAATTATTTATCACTGGAGATTACATGTTTCGGATTACGTGTCTAGAAAGTCGACATAATTTTTGACGGAAAATATGAAAATCCCATAACAAAAATTTGAAATCCTTTTGTTTTTTGTAATTATTTCTAAGTTCTCTCTTTTATTTAAATTATTAAATTTTGATAAAGTACTTCAAAAAACCCATTATGAATGAAAGAGAATAAAAGACTAGACAAGTGGGATTGAAACTTTTCCTTTTCCTACTTATAGAAACAATGTCCCTTGAACAATCCAACAATAGTTACAACAAACTTCCACAAAAAGTGTAGCACCTTAAACTTAAAGATTCTGTGAAGATATCCTTCAAAGATACTTAGCATAATATGTAAAATTTCATGGTTTAAAACAAACAAAGTAATACATGGAACCAAGCTATTCGTACTTTTATGGATAAGAAAAGACATAAGGTGCTAGATTTACTCTGTAACAAATAAAATATATTATTTTATATATATATTATTTATGTATTATTTTATATTACAAATATAATACATATTTATATATATTTGTGATTATGGTAACTCCGTACATAATTTTTTGTACTTCATAAGAAAATCTGGTATATAGTTGAGTGATTGTCATCCGATAAAGTTTATGGAAATTATTTGCAACTGTCTTAGAGTTCTTATAGGAATTATAAGAATTAACTATATGTTTATATATGAAATTTATATATTAATTACAAATTTATATAACGGATATAATATAAATAAATTTTACAAACAATTTATTAATCTATAAAATAAATTATATTTAGAAAAAGTTGCATTAAATATTTTTATGTTTTTTTTTAGATTTTATAAAGTTTTATTATAAACTTTAAGTGAATTTATGAATAAAACTCGTAAATACCATTAAATATAAAACGTTATTTATTAAGATTTTTTTAATCTTTAATGCATGGCACAAAATATGATACAAGTATCTAATAATAAAATATATTTTATTACATAAAGTATACAGTTCAATGAATATTCATGTTGAGCAGTTTTAATTTAAGTAACGATTGTATGGATTATTAGGGCCAATTTTATTTCCGTTGCTGTTGAGTTTCTTTAGTTCTGCGTAGCAAATTTTTTGGGGTACTCAAGGATATAAAATATAAGAAGAAAAAACTTGTAAAGCAGAAATAAATCACCAAGACGATGCGTTGGTACGTTAATTCAAATGTAGGACAAACGATTTCATTCACAGCAGTTAACTACACCACTACCCTCTTTTACATCCGCAGATATAATAAGTTTTTTTCTATCGTAATTATTCAATATATTTCAAGAAATTTGTATCTACTCGTTTTGTACTGCATGTATGTAAGCAAATAAAGCTTTTATATAGAATAGAAATATAAATATTTATATAATTTATATTTCTAATAAGAATTTATTATAAAATTTCTAAAATTAATTAAAAATGATCATTACAGATGCAAATATGACGCTTAATGCGTGGTAAGCGTGATATTACTGCTTGGCTTTGCTGCTAACGACAAGGAATCTATAAAATGGGCTTAGCTGTAAGTAAGGGCAAAACAAAGTATATGTCAGCTCAACTGAAAATCACTTGGATGCCAAGCTGGTTATTGGCAACTATACTTTCGAAGCTGTTAATGATTGTATCTATTTTGTTGGGACCTGTCGTAATCATCAACAATACTGATACTATGGATATAAGACAAAAAATTACCATTTCTAATAGATACAGTCACGGATTTAGTGGGCAATTGAAATATAGAGTTCTTTCTAGACCCACAAAACTTATATTCTATAGGTTGCTAATTCCACCTATGGTTCTGTATGACGCAGAAATATGAATGGCATTACAAATTTATGAAACAGCACTTCGTTCTTTCCAGAAAAGTACCACAGCCGAATAAATCACAAACTGAACGTCTTTTACCACATTCAGCGACTTTGCTGTGGGAGTTATGACGTCAATATGGCTGAGTAAGGAGATGTCGATACTACAGCGAAAAAGATGTGGAAAGTGACAGTCGAAGAAAGAATACATAGGGGAATACGTAGTGTCGGATGGAGTGATAAAGTTGATGGAACACGATGAAGTACTGGGTAAATCCACACGCGGAATTACTATCTAAAGATGGTGCGTTGCGTTTAGTCCAAATCTGATAACTGGTTTTTTTGGTCAATTAAATAAGTACTAAAATAGCATTATTTATAGATGTATACAGGGTTTTTTTTTATTAATATATGTAAGTATTCGCAAATAGATAATATTATATCCGTCATATAATACCATTCCTTTATAAGTTAATAATTCGCAAACCGACCATGTTACACATTATTTATGTATTAGTAGTTTTAGCAATATAAAAATGATGTCACAAGATACAGATAATTTTATTCATCTATTGGTGCCCCACCCTTTAAAAAAAAAGAAATTAGAAATGTTACTGATAATAGCTATCGGAACAGAGTCAGAAACAACGTTATATGAGTGAATATGCTCCGAATAAGTATTGGATTTAATGAGAGACTATACTACATATTAGCTTGTCAGGAAAATTAACGAGTTTTTAAGACAAGCATTCAATGATGAATATATTATCTTCTTAGTATAAACTCCTAAATTGTAAGATTTAGGGCTAGGGTAGCATTTTTTGTTAAAGTACTTAAACTAAGCGACGATTGTAGACTTAGCAGCAAACTTCGACTTTGTGAAGTCTATTAAACATATACTTATATCAAAATTTTTGAAAAACTTGTTGAAAATTGGCGCACTACAAAGGAAGACGACCATTGACGATCGCTGGATCTCGATAAGTAATTAAATAGTAATCGACTCTAG